TTTAACAAGTCTAATGAGAGATGGTGGCTGAGAGAGTAAGCTCTGTAGGCTGGAAAGTTTACACCTCTGCTCTAGTCTGCAGCCTTATTTTAAAGTGTAAAAAAAGGTAAAAATTCTTTGGGCTCCAGCTGAGTTTCCAGTGATTACATGGACACATCGACAGAGTTTTCCTGGAAACAAGACAAACATGATTTGCCATTGCCTTCTCCCAGAATCTTTTTCTAACTTCCTACTTTAGTCTACAGCCCTAGCATTTCTTCGGTTTCCCATCAAAGTACTCCCAGATCTAATCTTGCTTAGCTTTTTGAGATTGGCTAAGGTCAACTTGACATTACCACACAGCTGGACATATTTTAGTCTCAAATTAGCCTGCTTATGCCTTCTAGAGAGTCCCTCTGTGTCAGAGGTGAAGTAGTGATGGACAAGAAACGTGGCCTCTTCAGTAACAGTGCTCCCATTTTAGACTGGGAGAAGGTGAGCTTACTTTTTTTAACCAGGTGAAATTGACAAGAATTCTGCCAATTTTTGCTTCCAGGAAGCAAGAATGAATGAATGAATGAATGAATGAATGAATGAATGAATGAATGAATGAATGAATGTTTTCTTTTCCCTTAAAAAAAACTGATCCACTATCGGGTGGATGCACCATGCAGGAGGGTATCAAGTACAAAGGAGAGTCAACAGGGGCATATGCTCATATAAAAGGTTTATTAATGGAAACCTGAAAGGCATCTCCTGCTGCCCCCTCTTGAAGGGAAAGCAATTTTGTAAAATATAAAAAGATCTCCCACAAGCACCCTTGGGCATAATTTTGATGTATAAGTGGCATGCAAATACAGGAGGCAGTACCTACCTGATCTTGACTGAACTTGAAAAGACTAAGCAGGGTCAGACTTGGATAGGATACCACCAGAAATTTCCAAGAATGTGGGCTAGAATAGCGAGTCAAAAACTTATCCTGGAAGGCAGTGGCAAACAACTTCTGTACCATTGCCAAGAAAACAATCTGATGTGTCCCTGTAAAGGGCAGGATCACCAGATTGATCCAAATGTTTTTATCTTTTTGAATAAAATAAAACAAAAGCAAAACAAAACAAACACATATTTTGTTGAGGATGCAGTGGGGAGAAGGTATATTTCCTTTTTATTTCATAGCCATAGCTATGAGCAGACTTCATTCTCAGCCTTGGTTGTCTCTTTCTAGAAAGAGAAGTACATTCTAACTTCTAAGAAGGCTCTGAAGCATACATGAACAAAATAGGCCCCATGTAGCTAAGTAAAACATGAACATACTAGTGTTTCCTTGTCCTCCCTAGCTCCCAGGCTGAGCTTGTTCAGTTCTGGCCTTGGACTATGACTTTCATCCCTAAATGATCATATTTTCCTAAAGGCATCTATTCTGAACCAGAAATCCTTGTCTTGGCTTTTCCCCACAGCTCACTTAGAGCTATCTTCCCTTCCTTGAGCCATCAGAAAACTCTGCTGGCATTACATTTGCTGTGCCCATTGCCAATCCCTATCTGGCCTCTTTAGCCTGTTTTGGCTTGCCATCAGGTGCTATCCTGATTTGAGCTGTGCAGTATTTGTTAAGTAAAGACATTGGTTAAGTAGATTGGCTTTGCTAAAGTTGGACTTCCAGCTTCGCAAAGCAGACTGGCACTGAAGGGGAATGGCCAGAGACTGGCAGGACAGTCTGTGCCCACACTAACCTGAAATGCTGAGAGGTGCCAGGTGGATCCCATCCTCTGCTCTCATTGCTGACATCAAGCAGGTAAGAATTTGCAGACCTTGACATTGACACAGGTTGCTGTCAGCTTAAGGGGAGAAACATCACTTTAATACCAGAACAGCTGGTGGCAACATGAAGGCACATAGGGGCACAGCAGGAAAAGTGGTTGTCATGACAGGTTTGTTCTGTACTTCAATCCAAGTGGAGAAAGATCCTCCACTTGCCTCTTAGAGGTGAGGGGTTTCTGTAATTGCATATCAGCATATCACTTTTGGGGGGACGCGGTGGCGCAGCGGCTTAATGACGCTGAAAGTTGCCGGGCAGAAATGGTCGACGCTTCAGCAGTTCAAGTCCAGCCTTCGCGT